GCAACTTTTACAAGAACCATGGCTGAGGCTCTGAATGAAATTTATGCTGGAGAGGTGTGTTTCCTACTACCCATATTACTAACTTCTTTTAGTATTTAGAACTCTTCCAAGTGTTGGTCAGATCTGAACCTATAGAGCTTTTGAAACTTGTTTAGTGTGCACCTCACAACTTCTTTATATTTCATTTAAATGTTTTGTAGACACAACGATGGTACTTGTAAGTGCCACTGTATAACTGACACTCAGAAGCTATGACCTCTGGCATTTGACTTTCTACATTAGCCACAGTTAGGTTGTTCCAGTTAATACCTGCAAGTTCAGTCATGCCTTGGTTAATGTGGGTCAGATGTGTTTGAAGTTAGGCAAGTGTGTTCTATGGATGGTACTTTACTGTCTGAAATTAAAGAATGTGGTGTTGAATAGTAAGTGATGCAGTCAGGAAGACTCAAGGAAGTATCAATGTACTTGGCAGATGGCTGTGGAGTGTAAAGCCTGATCTATTTTTAGTATAATGACAGTAGTGACAATTTTCTCTTCAAGCAAGTTACTGTTCTTTGACTTTCAAGAAAAACTGAAGTTCTCGTGCTGAATAGCACAGAACTATCCCTCTTATCTTTGGATCTGATTCTCTTAAACCTTTCAATGGTTGCAGTCCACAGGATTGCTGTAAATAACAGTGAAACTCTTAAAGACAAGAGTTGCAATGAGTTTTAGAATGTTCTTGAAAACTCATATACCTGTCTTTACTCTGCTTGTATGAACTATTAAAGCTCCATTTTTCAGATTTCTTTTGTTATTATTATTTTAGATGGTGAAAGGTAATTATTTCACCACTTCATCTCCCATTGTTTTGCTTCAGATTTTCTTGACTTTTACAAGTTCCTTGGGGTGGGGGGGCTTGAAAGATGAGTTCATCTGAGGCTTTGACGGTTATTTATCTTTTTTTATCCAGATCATTACAAGGGAAGACCAAATTTTCTTTCTCTTTTTCTAATGCTTTTACTATTTGACAAAACTAAATTGGTTTCCTAATTGTACGTTCGGATTTTTTTCTTTATGCAATCCCTTTCAACAAGTATTTTAAGAACACTATCTGAAATAACTTTGGAAGTGTGTTTTGAAACTCCAACAGGTACCTGTTTCTAACCTGCATAATTGAAAGACATTTTTGCATATTTGATTTTAGATTAGTAAAAAACAAATACTTGTATGATTTGCAGGTAGTTAAATTCATTGACTCTATTTTTATCTTCTGTAGAGAAGTTCTGTGATATTTAACTTTCTCCACAAGATGGCAATAGAAAGCTATTGTAGTAGCCTATAGCTGAGTACAGCAGTAGTAGCAGATTTGAATATGTCAGATTAATGACTGACTTCTATTTGCACAGTATGCCTAAGAATACTTATATATTTCTTTGTATTTCAGAATGACCTAAAGCCTACGGAAGCAAAGAAGAAAATCCAGCATGTTACATGGCCATGAAGTAGCTAATGGTGCTTGAAACATAAATATTACTTCCATATTTTAAAATAGATAGGTATATTTAAACAATTTAAATAAAATTGTTTTTGAACCTTACAGAGATTCAGATTGCTGTGAAGCTTTAACAAGTTTAACAGTTCCCTGTCGTAAATCTGGAGTCACTATCACCAGTAACCTTAAGAGTGTCTACTCTTGCACAACAAGTAGTTAATTACTTCTTTAACAGGTGGTGATATTACACTATACTAAACCCTTCACTTTTAGTTTTCAAGGTTATTGTAGTTCATCTCCTCCATGTCACTATGATTCACACGTTGTTTCACTAAGGTTCAGTTTTGTTCCACATCTGGTTAAATAGTTAAAACAGCCGTTGAGATTTAGAGTGATCCCAAGAGCCTTCTTGGCTTTAAAAGGGTAATTAATTTGGCTGAGAACACTGACCATTCTGCTGATAAGACGGTCTACAAGAAATTTTTTTCGTTTCTGTTGCACAGAACAGGAGTGTAAAATTTGCAGTGCAAGTTAGGCTGGTAATGAGAGATGAACTATTTTAACAGCGTTACTTCAAATTGAAGTTTCTCTTGATATATGAAATAAGAAATGCACTGATGGAAATATGTTATTAGACTGTTTGATATGAAACTTTGAGAGGAAGTAGTGAATGGATTAGTGCCATGTTCTCTTAAGTACATAGGCATATTTTATACAGGCGTAAGTGTAAAATTGTGCCAATGTAGCAAATTTGGTTGCTTTCCTGGTTACAATCATGCTTATAAAATATGGGAAAAAACAGTGGAATGCAAAACAGTGCTTTTTCAGCTTATGAAGTTGGAGAGGGACATGGAGAGGAAGACAGAGAAGTACCTTGAGAGCATTAACACATGTAATCGCACTCTAGAAAAAAATACACAAACCTGTTTTCTTTGCTTTGATAATTTAAGATGGATTTTGGTTTTCTGTGAAACTTGATGTTTCATCTGAATTGTTGGTAGTGCCTTACAGGGCAGAAATCCAATTAAGTTGATAGAAACATTTTTATTAAAATTCAGTGGCTCAGGGTGAAGCCAATTTAGATCAGTTTTAGATATGGATGGTAAATAATAACAATGCTCCCAAACTTAGTAAAACAACAAAAAAAAATCAACTTCTGAATCCTCTTAGTTAACCCACTAAAAGAAGCTGTCAATAGTGATCAGAAAGCTTGTTTACATTTTTAACACTGGTTTATATTGAAACCAAACCCTGTAGTTTAGTTCATTACTTTACAGAAGTTCTCCACTCACTGTTACGATATAAAAGGCACTTCTTGAATGCTGTAAAATGGTAAGAATGTGTGTTTAAAAATAGTGTGCTGTTTCCCTTTTACTAAACACTTGTGCAGTTTTTGTACTTGAGTACAGCAAACTTTAATGTAATGTACATTTTGTATGTAAAGACTTGTCTTTTAAGTAGCCTTATCCTATTTAAATAAATTAAATTAAAAGCAGACAAAGCAGTGCTGACTTGTTTTTATGATGTAATTAAGCTTGTTGATTTTATACAGTTATATTTCAGTGGACTTGAAGTGATCAGGTTTAGCAGCAGTAGTATCATGTGAAGTGCTTGTTCTTGCACTAGTGTAGGAATTCTGATAGGAATTCTGTTTTGTGTTTGGCTTATTGTCAGTGATCTAGAGTGTAGGGTGTATTTTGTGTAGTTCCAGTTTCTAGGGGCACGTGTGTGTTGGTATGTGTTAAGGAGGGATATTCAGAGCTGTACTGGAATGATAGCATGATGCTGCTATTGCATGGTAACAGTCTTGGTTTTAAGCCGGTGTGCTTTCCATGTTTTATCTACCTTGCCCCAAAGCTGGGACCATTTTGCCCTCTGTTGTAGTACTTGGGAGGCAAGGTGCAAGCCATGCTGCTCTTACTGTCTTCATAGAATCATTAAGGTTAGAAAAGACCTCCAAGATCATCGAGTCCAACCCTTCCCTGGATACCACCACACCCACTAAACTCTATCATGAAGTGAGTGATTCCACTGCTTCCCTGGGAAACCTCTTCCAGTGCTTGACGACTTCCACTGAAGAAAATGTTCCTAATGTCCGACCTGTACCTCCCTTGTCACAACCTGAGGCTATTTTCCCTTGTCCTATCACTACCTGCCTGAGAGAAGAGGCTGATGCCCGTCTTGATTCAGTCTCCTTTCAGGTAGTTGTAGAGAGCAATAAGACCTCACCTCACCCTTCTTTCTTCAGGCTAAGCAACCCCCAGCTCCAGCCCCTTCACCAGCTCCGTTGCCCCTCTCTGGATGCTCTCTAGCACATCAATGTCCTTCTTGTAGTGAGGGCCCAAAACAACACAGTAGTCGAGGTCCGGCCTCCCCAGTGCTGAGTACAGGGGCATTACCCCTTTAGCTAATAGTAATCCTCTCAGCAAAGCACTAGGGCAGAGCTGCAGTGTGCTGAGGGATTGCCGGACCCCAAAGGAGAGTAAGTGAGGTGTTCACCCTCCTTTGGGAGGTGTGGATATAAATGGGAGTTTTGTGGCTATTTACTACAGCTTTCATCATAAAATGAAATCACCAAAGGATAGAATTCAGTGCGTTCTGGTTAGCACAGTGTGCACTTCAAAAATGTCAGTCAGCGAAGTTCTTCAAATGGTGTGCAATACTCTAAATCTGATCTGATGCATATATTCAGCTTGTTGAATTAATGAGAGGGGAATGACCTGTGAGCACTTCATACTTGGTACAAAAAGAGACAAATTCAAGAGCGGTGGCAGAAACTAGGAGCAAACTTTCCCTACCCAGTTACACACAGTGTAAGTATATTCCTAAATCTTTCCACATCTGAAGATTCCTGTTGGAGGTGTGACATATTTCTTTCCTCCTTTTGCTGGACACAAATGGATTCCATTTGGAAGGTGTACTGTGATCGTACACTGCATAACATGGCCATATTTCTTGCAGTTTGCTTTGGGACAGGAGTTATCTTCCTTTGGATTGTTTCCTTTTGATTTTATTGTCCTGCTAGCACCCTGTTGCTGACAGTTGCCTCTGTGGCAAACATGTAGCAGAAATTATGCTACAACAAAGGGTGTTATGTATCCCAATACGGAACACAATTAAAGCATGCCCTAGTACAGAAGTTAAGCTGCTGACTTTTGCAAAGATAAATGTCTTTTGAGTTATCTTGACCTCCTTGCTTGATGAGAAGAAAAAAGTATTTTGGTTTGGAGTTTAGAGCCTATGAACACATTTTTATCAGCTGCATTCAGTTCAGTATTTTCACACACTCAGTTTTGCTGATAATTTTCCCACTGACTTCAGTTAGTAGAGGACTATATTGTATCATCAGGACCCTTCTGAGGATTGTCTAAATTTCACACCCCCAATGACCAGGTGCAAAAAGGGTAGTATTTGTATGTTTCTTAGACTGTGAGAACATTTTACTTGTAAATAACATGTAAATACAATTAAACCACAATCACAGTTTTGTTTTAAATTATTTTATTTTGAAAAATACACTGTGCAGTGTAATGTCAACCAACTGGAATACTGACACTGTCAATCAGAACTTGTACTTCACACAATGATCAGCTAGTCATGCAATAAACTGTACCTATTGTGACGCACTCCCAATTATCATTATCTCTTTATGGCATGGCACAAATCCCTGTACATTGAAACACACTCTACCTTTGCAGTCTTTATACAGATTTGACAGCACACACTTGTCACACAGCTCAAGAACACTGGGGTAAGACCATCACTTTACTAAAATTGAATGGCATTTGCTGTTAATTTTAGTGGGCTGAAGGTTTCACCCTAAATATCCACCTATGAATGTATTGTGTGTGGCTATTGTAATCCTTGAACTGTATCACTTGACTGTAACTGGAATATTTACTGGAAGGAAAAAAAACAAACATGAAAAATAGTATGTATGTCAAAAACAGCCAAATGGTTTTACATCTTGTATTTTGAATCAGTTTTTGTTTGCTGCAGAAATCTTAAACACCAACACTGCTACTGGAGATATTCGAGTTTTCCCTCCAGACTTGGAGAGTATAATGAAAAAGGCTAAGTAATGTTAATAGTACAGCGAGACACAGAATGGCAAAGCTAGTTCTGAACATCCGTGTGTTTCAGACTATATATTGGAAGCACGGCTTTCCTCTCTCTTCTTCCTCACCTCTTAGTTTGAGCTTTAGATATCCTTCCCACATTCAGGGCAAAGGATGTCATCCCTTTCTGTGAGGAAGCCACGACCTACCAATGAAAGAGAGCACTTCTTGCAGTTAAAGCAATCATTATGCCACTGCCGTTCTTCAAAGGAGATGTACTTGGTTCCTCCGAGTCCTGTTTGAAAACAAAAGCCTTCTGTTAGAAGCAAAGAATAGCACATCAGCCGTCAAGTGATGCAGACTCCCCTCATTGGCATGGAGATCTGACACAGAGTAGTGAAAAAATGCCATTGTGACAAATCCATTTGTTATTATGCTAGTTTTGCCATCCTTATTCTGTAGCGACTAATATATTCATCCCCAAATAATTCTGTTGCTTTCAGCTAAGTTAATGAGTGAGGCTGTTATAACTGGTAATAATGGTAGAAATGAACTTTTGAGGGATGGCACTGGAACATACAGCTGAAGAAAAGCAAAGCACCTGCCCTTGAACAGAATTCTCATAGTTTTTTACAGAATGTTTTATGGCATCTGAGTAAGTTATTTTTTTGTTTTGTAAAAGTGCATTTAGATCATTTAAAAAGAAGCCTTTCGGGTTGTGTCATGACTTGATTCATAGCTACGAAGGAAGAGTGCCTCAAGAAAAGAAGCAGATTAGTAAAGAACAGGGAGGATTCCAAAGTTTGAGGCTATAGAGGTTATCATAAGGGATATTGAAGTTGTAGAAGAAAAAAAAGAGTCAAATATGTCTTGGTGGTAATTGTCTTTTGCTTAACCTCAGAAATGTCAAAAAATTTGAATATGATGCATTAGAATGAATACGATGCTTTGGAAGTCAGTGAAAAGATTTAGTTGGCATATCTCTTACCTGGTGGGAGAGTTTTTTGTTTAGTTTTGCCTTTAGTAGCAACATGTTGAAACAAACCATATCTATCTATATGATAGAAAGGACTGCAATATTCAAGAGAGAAATGCCTCTTTTACACGAACATAAAACAGTACCTATGGGGTTATACACTGGCTTTTCTAGGACCTATGTAATCAATGCTCCAGATGTAACTCACATTTGCAGTTTTGGACTGTATAGATCATACTGTTAAAGGCTAATTACTTCCTAGAGGAGGTTATAGTTTTATGCTATTTAATAGTAAAGTTCTAAGCAGTTGCTCCTCTAAATGCTTGTGCACTGGAAAGCAGTATCTAAAAGCCTTGTGACTTCTCAGTTGATGTCCTGAGAAGGCAGGGAAGAAATGTGCTCTGATACAGCATGAGGTATAAGCCAGTTAGACACTTCCTGCTGGTGAAGGGACAGTTGTTGCTGAGGTCAGTGATCCCTCTAATGAACACAAGTGGGACGATGTACAGAACATGCGTATCCCATAGGTCTGTTAGTGCACGTCCACTGTGTTCCATGAAAATCAGGGGAAAAGGAGGAAACTTCAATTTAAGGACCTCTTCCATTTCTTTTTCTTAGGTACTGGAAAGGCATCTTAAGTATTTAACGTCATAGATCTTGAATTATATAGTCTCTTCAGTCTTTCAAGTTATTCAGAATAAATTATTGAACCATTTTTAATATTAGAAGTAGTTCACTGAAAATAAAAAGGCAAACCAAAACAAAACCCAAAAAAACCCAAACCAAACAAAAAAACCCTAACACACAAAACCCCCACAAAATATAAAAGCTACGAGAGACCTACCACTGATTGGGTTTGTGCACCCAGCACACTTTTTGGCATAGAGGTTGCAGAAGCAGCTCAAGCAGTATGCAAACTCATCCCTGGAGGTAAAGCGTTGTCCAGACAACTGCTTCTTGCATCCAGTACAAACGAAGCACTCCTTATGCCATGGCTGCTCCCGGTAAGTAACACCTCCTGTAGTGATAGCCTGTTTTAGGAAAAATAAGATAGAAAGTGTTTTATTAAGGGTGGCAGGTTTGTGTTTTGATTTGGTAGAGAGGAAGGGTGATGAGATTTTTATGGGTGGGAGTTGATCTTGAGAAAATTATGCAAGTCATTTATTATAATTTCCTAATTTATGCAAACAAGACCCATAGTAAAAGTACTTTATTCTGCATATGTTGTGAAATCTGCCTCTCAGTTGTCCTCTTTGTTTTCCAAGCTATTCTTTCTATGTCGCTTTTCATACGCATGTGCTAGAATCTGTCTCATCACTGTTCCTTTACCTTCTCTTTCTTCATGGTGAAATGACTACCTTATGTATTTCAGCTTGTTACTTTGGCAAAGACCCGGGCTTGGCTACTCTTGGGAGCCAACCAGATGAGCAGGGGGTGTTGCCAGGCCCATTTGCAGGTGATTTAAAGAATCCCTAGGGAGAGAAGTGGACAGGGGTGTGGCACATCAGTGAGGGTGTGGCACTACAGTTTTCATGGCAGTTCGCACAGGCAGGATGAGCAGAAAGGGTGCAGCCACTCTCCCTGGTTCTTGCTCGTGGGTTGTGTGGTAGGTGTGCATGGTTTTATTGGGTGATTGTTGTTTTTGTTTTATCTCCTACTCAACTAGATCCAGCAATGGTTTCCAAATGATCAAAAGACACTGCTGCTGCTGCCAGCAGGAGTGTTCTAACCCAGACAGAACCCCCAAGAAGAATGCAGCTGTCCAGGACACTGGCTGTGGGGAGTCTCTGAGCCTGGCATGAGTACTGTGTCCAGCTCTGGGCCCCTCAGTTCAGGAAGGATATTGAGGTGCTGGAGGAGGTCCAGAGAAGAGCAACAAGGCTGGTGAAGGGACTGGAGCACAAATCCTATGAGGAGAGGCTGAGGGAGCTGGGGTTGTCTAACCTGGAGAAGAGGAGGCTCAGGGGAGACCTCATCACTCTCTACAATGACCTGAGAGGAGGTTGTAGCCAGGTGGGGGTTGGTCTCTTCTCCCAGGAAACCAACGGTAGGACAAGAGAGTATGATCTTAAGCTCTGCCAGGGGAAGTTTAGCTTAGACATTAGAAAGAAATTCTTTACACAGAGATCAGACATTGGAATGGGCTGCCCAGGGAGGTGGTGAAGTCACCATCCCTAGATGTGGCACTTAGTGCCATGGTCTAGTTGACAGAGTGGTGTTGGGTCACAGGTTGGACTTGATAATCTCAGAGGTCTTTTCCAACCTAGCTGATTCTGTGACTATTTTATTTCATATTTTATCTGAAGTCTTTACTTTCTTCTTCTTCAGCCTTTGTCAGGAATTTTTCTCTTACAAGAAGTTGTTGCCTACAAAAACAGCTCCCCTGATTTAAACAAACTGAATTTTTGATCCTTTAAGAATTCCTAAGAAGGCTGTAAAATTGGATAGTTTGATTTTTCTTCCCTTCTTCACTAACGTAAAACTCCCTGGGAATCGAGTCTGTATGTGATCATACTGCCTGATATATATATATATATCTGTGTATATATAAATATATGCACATATATATATATATGTATGTATATGTATATATTTATGTCTGTCTTCACCTCTTTCCCGAGTTGAGTCTGTTCTCAAGTGTGGTTAAAATTGGACAATAAGCAGACTTTTTAAGATCTGAAACTCCTAGAAGTTTCAGAAAATTGATGGATGGGTAGGAGGTAGTAAGAGTAACTAGGTAAATTTTTGGTAAAAGGCTGAAAGAAAAAATTAGCTTTCACCTATTTTGTCCTGCCTGTGCAGCAGCAAAGAAGCAGCTGTTTCTGGCCAGTTTGTATGTCTGGCAAAGTTGCAGCTTTGCTTGACTGGAAGGGTGAATGAGTAGGTAGCACATTTGGAAGAAAGTCTGGGTAGTGTGGGCATAGGTGGTGACTGAAGGTATGTAGAGGGTAAAGGGAGAGGAAGAAGTGGCAGTGGGAAAAGAAATTTATTGTGGATATAGCCATAATTTTGATTGTCTTTGCCTACGCATATATCCATAGGAAAGTGGGATTTATTAGTTCCAAAACGATGAGACAAGTCTCTTTAAGAAGGAATTCTAAAATATTTTCAGTGTCTGTGTATGAAATTTAGGAAATTCACAAATAAAAGGTCCTTAGCCTAGAAAGCCATACTAGTGTTTATTTCAGGAGCAGCACTTGCTCTGTGTAAAGTTCTCTTGAATGTCATTAGAATATTAAAAATAATGATCTGTGTTATCTCATCTTCCTTCCATCTTTGTCTTCCAGCTGAAATGTTTAGGTACGTGATATATGCTGGATTATATTGGAATGAGGTTAATTTTTATTTTGTTTTTATTGTTTTGTTTGTTGCTGGTTTTTTGTTTTGTTTTTGTTTTTTGTTAGTATGCTCTCTGTATGCTTTCAATATAAAGGGATCTTTAACCCTAAGAGAAGTCTCTTTGTAGCAAATGCTGTGCCTGATGCAGGATGGGAACTGAAAATATTTCTTAAAATGAGTTGATTCTGGATCTTTTTAATACATAAAAAATGAGATATTCTACCTCTTTGGACATAGAACAGGATGGACTTCAATGCCTTAGGTTTCAGGTAAGTAAAGTAAGAGCATTACCTTCTTGCACTGGACACACTGCATGGCAAATTGCTTTTCATAGCAGGGTACACAAAAGTTTTGGTGGTCCTTAGGGATGAAACTCTTTGTCCCAATAGGCTGTTGGCAGCGGTAGCAGATAAAGCAGGTCTCGTGCCAGCTGTTGCCTTTGTATTCCATCTTCCGAGTACCTGTAATGAGACCAGAGCATCAACTGAACTTCTTCTGGATGAGATGGATGCCATTTGTACTTTGTTTGCCTGGCATCTGGCTGTCAGTCAATAAGCAGTGCAGCTCTGAGCTATAGGCTATTTCATGTTTCTACCAGCTTTGCGTAGTATTGAATACCATTTAAAGTTTTTGAAGAGCAAGCGGTTCTTCTCCTCCTGTGAAGAAGAGAAACGTTTATTGATAATAATGATGGCTTAAAACACCTTTTTGTGGTATTATTAGGCTAATAATGAATTCTAATGCAAAGGAAAATTCTGGCGAACTTGAGAGATGCCAATAAAAGCTGCTGTTAGTGCTGAGTGAAGGTAAGGCCATTCCTTGTTAAAGATTGACTTCATTTGTTTCAAGTCTACTTTGTTTCTTTTCCAGATAGCAGCAAGATACCTGGTTAATTATAGAATCATAGAATTTTTTGGGTTGGAAGAGGCCTTAAAGATCACCTGGTTCCAAACCCCCTACCATGGGCAGGGACACCTCTCACTGTTTAAAGCCCCATCCAACCTGGCCTTGAACACTGCCAGGGATGGGGCATCCAATTCCTGGCAACCATCTTTCTTCCCTTTCCCAATGAAGTATAGTCACTGTCCGAGACAAAGGACTAATTCATATCTGTTCTGGGGTTTTTTCCTGTCCTCATTGAGGTCTACTATGAGTTTGTAATCATTTCCAGCTCAGCAACACCTAATCTGAATGTTTTTCTGTCTCTTGAGACTTTCAGTAGAAAAGAACCTTTCTCTCTAAGTTGAAAACATAGTTACAACGTGAAAGGGAGAAAAATCTTTAAATAGTCCTTAAATGAAAAATAGAAAAGTGGTTTAGTACTTAGGAAATGAATGATTCTCTAGAATCAAGGTTTAGGGTTCAGATACTTTGTTTTGCAGATTCAGTCCACTGTATGACAGGTGGATTCTGAGCCCTTCCAGGAAATTGGAGATGCCCTATTATATGGACAAATTTCTTTGCACACCGTATAATTTCCTATTTACCACTTCAAGTCAGAATATTTGATACTGGCCAGAAGGATAAACAAACAAATGTTGTTCCTACAGTTCTGCATCATTCTTGAAGCCTGTAACAACAAACATGATGTCAAATGCTTGGAAGACTGACAAGCTAAGCACATTGGCTAATGATGAAGAACCACACTAATGCCCTTAATGCTAACTCTCCGCCCCACCATTACTTACAGAGTGAAGTTTTGCCATTTTCCCTCTTCTCAAATATTAATTCATCTTTGTTTACTAGTTGCATGTTTTTCTTCTTTTTTTTTATAGTCTCATTAAATTCTGCCCAGATTTATTTGGTGGTGGGGTTTTTTAAAGCATTTACCTGCAGCAGTAGTAAGTGAACCGTTAATTATCTTTCTGCCTGATGCTTATATGCTTGAATATTTCTGTTCCATTTTATTAACGGATATCTTCTAAAAATTATGCCCTCTCTGTGCTGCTAAATTTCTATATCATGCCAAGGAGCAAACGAATCAGTCCTTGAAGGAATGATGTTGTGGAAAAGGAGATGTGAATATTTTTTTTTTATAGTCTAGAATTTTATTTTCACATTTTCAGCTGTTCTCTCTCAGGGATTGTGTTGTCACTGAAACTCAAGGCAGGGGGAGCCTGGACTGAAGTCAATGTGAGTTTAATTTGCAGAAGGATTGAAAGATAAATCTTGTAATTACTTTAGTATTTAACAGGCATGTCATGATAATGCTGCTTTTAAATATTGTTGTTATTTCTAGTTAAAAGTCCTACTTTATCATCAAATCCTCATTTTTACACCTTAGGAGAACAATGTTTTGGTTTTCCTTTTGTCTAAGGTGACCAATGTCAGAACCAGCTGGCGAAGTAACTAGTAATCATAACGGAGTGTGTACAAGGATTCTTCAAATTGTCTTTTAATATTTTATTTCTGCACTGATAGCCCTTTCAATTTAAAGCCCCCAGATTATTACAGAATGTTATAGTGTTGACGTGACCAGATGAGGTTTTAACAATATATTACTATAACCTCATGTTTCATGTTGACAAAGAAAATAGCTCTTTCCTGTTTCTTCATATCTTTGTGCTCAAGAAGAACCTCAGAGTCACTTTGATGAATTTTTCATTTTTTTCTGAGAGAAGCTAAATTTAGAGTAATCACATAAAAAGCTAAATTTCAAATTAAGTAAGCTGTTAAATTTGCAAGCTGTTTCCAGTTTTCAAGAAGTGGAATCAATCAAGACAGAGTACAAAGTTGGGATTGGAAAGAAAGATCAATATTATTTTTCCAGACAACAAAAACCTTTTAATGAATACTGCTGTAAAAAAATTATAAATCCTGTTAATAAAAATGCTAAGTAAAATAAATACTAATTTTCAAGAGTTATCTCTTTTATGTGAATAATAATTCTGCCATGAGCAGAACATCATGAACATTATGAACATTACATATTCTGGTCATGGAAATAGCTTAGAATGCACAATCAACTATATTTTACATAGTTCACCATGACTTAGCAGAAATAGTCAAGGAAAAAGATCTGTCAGAAATGTTGCTGAGTTTGGGCTTAATATTTAGCCTAATCTTTTCTTAGTCCAAAAAGTGAACATCCTAACCTGGCATAATAGTCTTCTTGCACTCATTACATTTGGAAGAGTATTCATTGGAGTAGCAGTCAGTACAAAGTAGATGTTCCTCTTTTGCAGCAAAAGGTTTGTCCACCAATGAATTCTTGCACTGGAAGCAGTGGAAGCAGGTTTCATGCCAGTGGCGGTCCTTGTAAGACAGATCCTGTAGAAATCCAAACCCACAAAGCAAGTGAAATGAACAGTTTGCACAACTAGAAGCTCAGATAATGCAAATATATCCAAATCTGAACTGCAGCCAGGAGCTGGGACTAATTTGTACAGTTCAAGAAAACAAAATGTTCTGATGAAGGTGAACTTATTTTGCTGTGATAACTAAGAACAGCTCATGACAACTACTGGCCCTTTTTCAGTTCAAGGTAACTTTTTTTGTATGCAACAGAGGATCAACTCATTTCATTTAGGTATTTCCTTTGAGAATAAAGCTCCACTTTTGAGGCAGATTAAAACTTGTTAACCTCATAGGTGTGCCTTATCTATTGCTGATTCCTAAGTAATTTCATACATATTCACTCCTGAACAGAAATCCTTTTCCCAACTGCTTTCTGGTACTTTTTCAGTTCAACAGACTTACACCAAGGGTGAAACAGATCTGACCTCTTCGGGTTTTTTTTTCACTGCAATAAATCTTTACAGACTCTTATGTTTTGTTTTACGTATATTTCAATATACCTGTATATTGGACTGAAAGATGCGAGATCACACTGTACCTGCACCCAGTGATCCAGAGTACTGGTCAAATGATTAATGTGAGGGTGTAAGTATTTAAAATACTCTCCACAGTGGTCCTCTTATTATTTAAAAACCCCCAGTCCTTCTAAAAATTGTGACCTAAAGCAATGAATTGGGCTTTTTAAAATTTGAATTAAGGTGGCCTAATCGTGTAACACTTGAACAGTGACTTTGGATTTCTCACAAAATGGAGCTTGGATCATTACAAGAAAAGGTGTCTACCCCAAAACATATAGGCTTTAGTTTAGGTTGGGAGTGTGAGTGGTTAGTACTGTCATGAATGGAGCAGAAATAACTTCTAGCTCAAGATCTACTATGTATTTGTTGCAGGCACCGAGCTAATCTGGTTAACTGAAGGAAAAGAATGAGTTGTAGAATACCAGATTTTTTAGTTGTGTAAAGCATCACAAAGTGTTTGTACCTGATCTGGCCTAAGCTGCTCTGTCAGTCAGTACAGTCACAGGTAACTCCAAATGAGCAATCTTAGCCCAGAGCAAACAAAAGATACTGTGGATCTGGGTTAACTTAAAATAACAGCACATTATGTCTTCAGGAGCCTTGTTCTCATAAGTAGCTAATAGGAAACACTGATATAGTTTCATCTAGCTTAGCTGATATGTAGTAACTTGTTAAATGATAGTGATTTCAGTCAGAAATTGACCATGCAATTAAGCATTTTTGTTTGGACATCTGCACTACTCACCTAAATTTCCTAAATCACTGTGAATAACAGTTGGTATCAACGCATCTTGCATCTCTGAGATTGCACTCTGTGACAGAATATCTAAGACTCCCACTTTACAGCTTCTGGGCACTTGTTTATTCAGCTCATCTATTCTTTTCAGCTAGCACCTTTTGAAACAGCACAAATTTCTCACCGTAAAATTTTAATCTTTTTTAATAGCAAATTGAAAACAATTTTTTTCAGAAGTTGTCTACATTTTATTCTCTTTAAACCAAGTTGAATAGCCTAAATCTGATCTCAGATTATATTTTCAATAGAAAAGAATACAATATACAGCCAACAGTGATTTCCAAAATGTGAAATTTGCCTGGTAGAGAGTAGAATCACAACAGATCTGATTTTCTTTCTTTTGCAACATGATGTATTCCGTTCTTTTTCCCCACTTGCTACCTTTTCCCTCCTTTTGCAATGTTCTGCAAGATATCATTTAATCTCCACGGTTCACGTGCTGCTGTCTGCTTATTTTGTCAATAAAATTTTACCCTGGAGAAAGTGCATGCCTTTTAGAAGAGGAGTAATGAAGAAAAAGATTAGGTGTGAATGATGAAAGATTTGGTTCTTGAGTCAGTTATGATGGCAGATTCTATAGGTAGTAGCTGGGTAGGTGAAAGTAGGAGATATTTCATCATGGCAAAGTGATGAAGAACAACTACAACACAAAGTACCCAAGATAAAGACTGAATTGAATAATCTTCAGATACTTTGGATTATTATAACAGGTATTGTCATTGAATGTAGAGAGAATCTAAGATGCCTGGCTTTGAGATGCCTACAACAGAATATTAGAATGATGAATTGGATATCGCCTTCTCTCTCTGAATCTGTCACATCTGAAAGCAAGGAAGTCCAAGGTACTGATGAAACCATATATGCATCATGATTCCTCTTAAATCAGTGTAATAAAGTAACTGAAAAGGAGATTTGGTCTACTTCAGTGTGTTGTCTATATTGCTGAAACCTTTGGCTTGTTCGTAAGCTGTGGATGTATTGATCTGGAGCAGATTCTACACTGGAGAAGTTGTATGTGCATAACTGACTTCAAACTTATCTGAAGGTCAGGCTGGTCCTCTGCTAAACTGAAAGAGCATCAGATTTAGTCTAGTCATGTGAATGCTAGTTTATGCTAGCTGATTGTAACCCAAATAAATCTGTTCCAGCAGAAGTTACAAGGGATATACAACTTATTCCTGTTTATTGCATGGATTTCCAGGAAGAACAGAAACAGAATATTACTATTGTGGACACAGAACTGCAGTATGTCCTTAAAATATTGATAGACATGACTTGTCAACTGTTTCATGCATTTCAAGGGAAATGAGTCCCTGGCGCTACATATTTTAAGCGTAGATTTTAATGCAACCTCCTATGTTGCCTAAAAGAGTCATATAGAGAATGACTCTTTCTGCCATCATCTGTGCCTCTATGAAAACTGACTGCCATGTGCTCTTGTTAGAGAAGGCACCCATGAACATATATAAGAGACTTGTTAGATAAAGCACAGATAAGAGACTGAAGAATTACCATAGGCTGGCATTTGAGAAGTGGAATGGGAGATGCTTGCACACAGGTGCTCATGGACATACTCTGCCCTGTACAAGCATTTTGCAGCTGAAGTGCAGAGAGCACCAAACCAGTTTGGGATGTGCTACTACAGCAAAGAGAAAGGGAGGAGGACAATACCATCTCTGCAGAGCTGTGATAAATCCTGTAGAAGTATTTGGAGAGAGAATTTTTAACACTTAATTCAGTGACATTTCTTCTGAATATAGAAAATAATCCTTCTCTCGTATAGTTTCATTTGAAGATTAAAAATTAACTAAATTAGCAATCCCTGAAACTACTCATATTTTAATGGGCTCTTTTCTCAACCTGATATCAGTATCAACCTCAGCTGAAAATTTCAGCTCAGAGTTCCGTGACACAACCAAATGAACAATGAATGTTTCTCAAACAGACATCAGAGTGTCGACCAAGTGGAGATCTTTTGTAGGTGCTCAGATGACTGTAAGCAAAACTTGACGCAAGATCCTATTTGTATCTGAGACTTTTTAGAGTTGTGCCATGCAAAACAGGTTTGAAACTCATGGTTTTGAAAAGCCATTATGTGCTTTTAAAGTAATTTTATTTTCTCTTATTTTCCTTATGTCAGTCACAAAGAAAACTTTGACAAAATAACTGTTAACATTGGCAAGATGATGTTTTAACAGCTTTTACGTAGTTCTGTACAGTTTTGCTCCAGTGTGGTTTATTTAGTCTCTAGGGTGGGACTGTGACTTTTTTTAAACTAGAAAATTGTTTTTAAAAAAATCCAAAACCTAGGAGACCCCAAGACTAGAGTTACCAGGTCACCGAGTTATGCTTAAGGCTCCTCATATGTTGTCTTGTACTCTGGCTTTTTAAATCTAAGTAGACTGAAGCCATTATGCATTAGCATTTTTCTTGAACTGGTTTTCAGCAGGGATCCAACAGGAAGAAGGAGATTAGAGAGCTTATTACCAGAAGAGGAACTGCATGTGTTGTTCACAAACAAAGACTATATTAGGCTTTTTTGCCTGCCACAATGCTCTTTTCAGAAGAGCAGAGGAAACGGGGTACGCCAACAAAATGCTGTGCAGATTGTACACTACACACACCCTGTAGCAAAGCACTTAAGTATGTTAGACTGGCACATACATGTTAAAAGCATGTTGAGAAAAGATAAAACCGAGTGATACTGTGCTGGACCCAGACCCTTAGGGGTATGAGAAGATATTAGGGTATCTACCTCTTTTACCATTCCACTTTACAACTAGTCTGAGATTCAGTAATGCACTGAAAAAGTGCTGCAAGTCAGGACAAGGTTTAAATAGTTAAAATGAGAAAAATAATTATTTTATCCCTTTCCTTATCTGCATTACTAGATGTTTTAATTTTTTGTTTAGTTTATTTAAGACTGACCCTTCTGACTCATTTTTGGCCTGCGTGCTGAGACAGTAGCTTCATCTCACAATCCACTTATAATTTAATTCTCACATGTTGCAGTAAGAGTGTTCGCCCCTCCCTGCCTGCCAAGGACAACTTGTGGACTGCATTAAACACTGGATTACTGCAGGTATTTCCTGGTTTTGCAATGATTTCTATACCATAGGATCTGCAAGGAAAGTATTAAAAAAGCCAAAGTCAACCAAAAGTCATGCTTCAGCAGTTAAGCACATGGGAATATAATGGATGGATTTCCAGAAAGAAGCGTGAAACTGTAGGTGTGGTAAGTGTTCACCAGGGATGTAGGCAACAAAATACCTTTTTTTTTTTTAGAAAAGGTAAATTTATACTAAAATGTGTTAACATATGAATAATGTATAATAGCTGTGAGAAAAATGGCATCGTGTTTTTCTACTGCCTGCCAATGCCTTATACCACGCAGTATGTGAAGCTTTTAATCTGTCTGTGAAACATCAGCTAGAATTGTTTACAGTTAATGAAATGGCCTAAATCCAAAGATGTCATTCAGACACATGTTGTTAATCTGGGATTTTTTGATGGAAAAAGATTGCTTTTTAAAATAAAGAACAAATCAGTTATTACTCAGTTACTTTCACAGCTACCCATAAATTACTATAAAAACTAGAAAGATAGTGAAACAAATTTTCCCCTGATTTGAATTCAAGGAAAGCCTTTCTTCAGTATGGTTATCTTGTGGGCTCTCTGTACCAGAGCTTAAACACAATGGGAAAATCTGGCATCAGTTTCATCCTCTCAGATCCCAGTGCTGTCAGAATTGGAGTATTACCAGTGTCTGAGCAGGCTTAAGTTCAACTCAGGTGAATTGATTCTGTGCATCAGTGCTGGTACACCACAGGAGTTCAGAGACAGAGAGCTGGCAGTCCTCTTGTCAACACCTGTTTTACTTTGGTTTAACCCTGTCATCTAAAGAAGGGCTGCTTTTAATTGGGAGGGCTGGAAAGAGGGAAATTAAGAGCACCTGGTTCTCAGCGCAGCTTTTCTAAGTGTAGAAAAACAATGGTGACCTAGAAGGGACTTGCAAAAGAAGATCTGAGGTGAGAGCTGCGTGGGACTTTCAGGTTGCAATGTGGGTGCAAGAATGGGCACCCCTGCTAGATGCAGAGGCCCAGACATGACCTTTTCTGATAACACTATCACTCCACTAGATTTTTGTTCCAAATTTTACAACCGTAGGTTATGTCAGAACATATAAACAAATGTGGAGTCCATTTTGTACATGAAGTAAACATACTGGTTTCATTCTCAAACACAGTGCAATTTATCTTCTTTGTTGAGGTGAAAAAGTAAATGCAAGGTTTAGAAAGATATATAGAAAAATACGTACGTGTATGTCTGTGTGTGTATTTCTTATGTATTTATATCCCTAGGTATACATACAGTTTAATGAGAAGTAGAAGTCTGATTTTTTTGTGACTTTGTGTTTCACAGCTGAATTATGCTCAGTCGTATAGTGGACATACTTGGTCTGAAACTTGTCTTGGGGCTGAGACATTTGTAAGGGCTCTCTCAAATGTGTTCTCTAGTGTCTGTTACTGCAGTTGAAAAACTACTCTAGTTTTCTTTTCAGTGGGAACATTCATAGCGTGTCTTTTTCTACCCAAGCACATGTTGAGTTTTTTTTTTCAAAAATCTTGTTGCAATTTAAGTTTCAGCTTTTATCTGTCTGGCAGAATTTGGTTAAAATTGGTCAACACTTTCAAAAGCTACAACATAAAGCATGGACAGGCACAAACAGTGGTCACAGAAACAAAAAAGGATATGTTCATTTCTGGTATGCTTCATAGCTTTTTAAGAAATATTTATTTACTATCTCTTATTTGTGTTTTCCACATATAGTTCTGGTTCTTTACATATATAAAATATTCTTATATTGTAGACTAAGGGGCCCTTTTTTTTCTCTATCTGCTATTAGAGTGCGTCTTGCTTAAAAAAAAAGCAGTATATTGGATAACACCCACACTCCCTAAATCCATAAATCTGGGTTGAAAAGTTCAGCCTGATTAATTCCTGAATACTTTGACCGAGATTTGTTGAAGCCAATCCAAGTTTTTAAATTCTCGAATATCAACACATGGAAATATCTTCTCAGGGGATTAGAAAGAGACCTTAAAACAAAAGCACATTCTGGAATGGGACAAAAATATTTTTGCTTTTTCAGGTCAGGACAGGCCAGCTGTATCTATTCTCTAATCTGAATATTTATGAGCTGTAGGAAAGCTGGCAATTTTATACCCCCTTACAGGCTATTGCCAGTTCCCTGTCTTGATGATGAAACATTCTCACCTTTCTAAAGTTTCTGAAAGGGACTTTCCCACTGATTTGCCAATAGAGTGGGATAGATCTATTTGGAAGACATGCAACATTTATTTTTTCCAATCTGAGTAAGCATATACTTTTGTATCTCTGAACTAGTGATTGAGTAGTAGTATCACTAATAGGAATTAATTGGTGCTTCTAGAGGTACAGATAAGCAATGGAGGAAATCAAACGTCAGATCTCCTTGTATCGGTCAAGAATCCTATGGTCATGCAATGCAAATTGCAAATCTACTGCAATCTCACTCTGTCAGTGAAACTCTTGCCCAACTTTGAACAGGTCAGTTTTGTGCAAGGAGGACAGCTATTGGATGGAGTCAGCCTGTAGCAGTCCAACAGACACTTCACTGGATGACTCATCTATCTTCATTCAGTCAGGATGAAACTGGCAGGAACTCCGGTTGTTTTGGTTATCTTAAAAGAAATGCAGGTGGTTACACCTTATTGTACCAGGGAGGTGTTTCCATGTGGTACAGCAGTGCACAGCTCAAGCAGAGTCTCTCCTCTGTCCTTTCCAACCTTTAGTTAGACTCCTTTATAATCATTTAAAAGGCTATTTTTTCTAACTCTATCTGATTTATTACGTGGGTCAGCATTAGCTGGATTTTGTGGTCCCCAAGTTGGCACTTTTTCTTGAGCGTGTCTTGTCTCTTTGATGACCATAGAATTATGATCACTGGGAAGCCAGCAGTGGCTTCCCTCTCTCTGACTCAAAGTCATGAAAAACCTGCTTCTACCACTCTTCCAGATCGCAGCTGGCCCTGAGGACAGACTCTCCTATAATGACTTAGAGAGAATTTCTTACATCAGATCATTTTATACCTTGCAGGAAGGCACTTCTATTACCATGCCTGGTAAAGAAGGGTTTGACAAATGAAGTGCTAAAAAGCAGATACAGGGGTCCAGAAACTATGCTCTCCCAGCAAAAAGAACCCCTATGTAGCTGTTAAGCTGGATTCTTCCAGGTCTCAGCTCTGTATCCAGGCTGCTCTACCAAGATTTCTGCAACAAGACACAAATCTGGCATACCTTGCAGTCAGCGCCGATAGGTTTTTTACATTCCTCGCAGGTATTGGAATAAAGATTTTCATAGCATTTCACACAGTAGGGGCTGTCCTCCTTCAGGATGTACTTCTTACCAAACAGAGACTCTTTGCAGTAGTGGCAGTCAAAGCGCTCAGTCATGTTGGTATCTGGAGTCCAGCTATCCTGTCACGAAGACAGAAACAGGCACATACATGTCAGACTGAGCTACACTTGACCCAGTCCCCCAGGAAAGGTTTATCAATTCTTGTTTACCACATTGTACCTCAGTTTTAATCTGACTTTCGGTCAAAATAAATGAACACAATAGGAAGAAACTGGACTATAAATTCTAAGTGTAGGGCAATGACAATAGCCCATCTACTTCAGTCATCCACTGATCTGTCTCTCACCAGAACTAGTGTTAGAGACAAGAGGGAGGAGTAACCCTTGAGTCTGAAGAATTCTCATGGGATTTGTGAAGGGGATTTGACCAATAGATCCAAAGCAAGAAGGTGTCTTTGTAGGGGGCGGAGGGAGCCAAGTACATTAGGAGGATGAGCCAGCTAATCTTCAGAAAGCTAATCTTGCATAAGGCAAGACAAAGGTTCTCATTGCTAGTAGACTTTAGTAATGCACAGACTCTCAGGCACCACTGTTTTGGGCTTCTGCACCTTCCTTCTCTGCGTACTCAGTAAGCCAGTGTCTGGAAATTGTTCCCCTGCAGGCAAACACCAACTCTCCATCTCTCCTCGTGCATGAGACTATAGGCACTGTTAACAGCAGGAGGTATAGGGTTGGTGACTGTATATCTCATTCTCCTCCGATGCAACCGAATGAGTTATCCAACTGCACTGGCACACAAGTGGGAGCTAGATGCCCTGGCTCAGACAAATGTCAAACAATGATTATGGAAGGAAAAAAGCAAGTGGAAGAAACTGCATAGGATGTTTCAGCTTATCTGAATTAGGAACAACTGCTGTTTGCTCCTCAGGTCTTATGTCTCTATCATTTTCTGGATGCACATACAAGCAACAGTGACACAAATGCTTTTGATTAACCACAATTTATTTTGGGTTTCATTAGAGTCATCAGCTTCTTTCTTAACCTGAGGGTCGCAACATGTGTTGCACCTGAAATCTGTTTGGAGGTTACAGCTGGAGAGGGCATACTGCCTGCTTAGGAAAGCAAATTTCACAAATGGAAAGTGAATGCCATGTGGACTGCATGATTTTCACTGCCTGCCAGGCCTTATCTCCTCTTTAAGCCACATTTGATCTATAAATCCTTAAATGTTTTGAGTACTACTGGCTTAAGTGGGTACCTCTGTCTTTCACACCCAAGTGACATTTACAGCAGCTGCAGTCCTTTTGCCAGTATCAGCTCTCAAACAAAAAGTTGTTACTTGCTTAGTGTTCTTGGCACAGGTTGCTGGATTCTGGAGTTTATCCTATCCTTCTGGTAGTGGGAGCCACCCACAGGGCATTCTGAAATCCTCAGTTCTCCTCCAGAATTTCAGTTTTTATTATTATCTTCCATTCACTATAGCTGAAATGTGATTACGATTTTAGGGCAGACTCAATGGGCAAGTTTATATTGTTTTGATGGGTAGAAAGCTTTTTTTGTTTGGCTTTTTTCTAATGGTTGATCAACTGCTGAATTGACCAGCCCAGACTGAGGAGTGAGCGGTTTTTAGGGGTGAGGGGTGTGTGCCGTAGGTAAGTGATGGCCCAGCTGCTGGAAAGTCTTTTGAACTACAAGTAACTGCTAAAAAAAAGGGAGAGACAAACTACCAAACCCCAAAATATACTTGGAGGAAAAATCATGACAACTGGTCATCTGTGCTACTGACAACCCAGAATGAGTAGCAGTCCAGCTGCTGTGACCTTAAAGATGCTCTAGGAACTGATTAACTGTCTTATCCCAAAGGGGAGCTGGGAGTACCTTAGGTGGTCTTTGTCCTTAAGGACTAGAGAGGATCATAGGGACTGATAAGACAAAGACAGAAGGTAAGAAGACATGCTGCAGAGAGGAGTGCAGTGACTACCCAAAGCTCCCATCTAGCCCATCTCCAACAGCAGTAGTTAGCAATGGAAGTCAAAGATGAGATCAGGAACAGTAGAGAGGGACATTTCCTTAACAACTGCTTCCAGCAAGTTAGTCTCCTCTTGAAGCAGAGTTGCAGTCATTACCACAACATTTAAAAGATGATGGTGGATTTATTTTGCTCTCTGTTTTGTGCCTGTTTACACCCCTAACCTACATAACATGCTTGGACTTGCCCATGAAAGAACTAGAGAGGACTTAATTTCATTCATGGAGTAATTTCAGCAAAATGAATGGAGTTAGACCAATGTACACTCAGTTGCACATGTAAATGTATGACAGATTCTGAGAGGAGTGACAGCTTTTTTCAAATATTTTGTATTTAAGACAGAAATCTCTACTTTTTATCAGATTTTATTAGATTTTTTTTCTGAATGATAGGATTTGGTTGTACATTTAATATGCATTATTGCTAAGATAAAGTGTGAGCAGAAACCACTTATGAACTGGCATTTGTCACTTTTCTGCAGAATTAGTTCTTTCTAGCCCTGATACCAAAGAGTAAAAAATTTCTCTTCAGTGAAGATGTGGAAAAGCAAAAACCAGAGAGTGTGATTCCTTTACAGGTTTATACCATTTCTGTATTCATCCAAAGATGCCAAAGTGCACTGTGACTGGAAGAAGGACTATTACCTTAGAGGTGGATGTTCCTGTCTCTTGGTCACAGGAGGTTCCTTCTTGAGTGCTGTATTGTCTTCTAGGTGCTTTTCAGGGGAGCAGAAGCAAGCATTATGTAATATATTTATTTAATAATTTATATAATAGTGTAATAATTTATTTAACAATTATTTAATAGTCGCTACCCTTAGTGCCTTATAGTGGGCACTTGCCTCACTATCCTGGAAGGGATCTAGTTTTGTTAAATGTGCTCCAAGATTGTCACAGTAGATTGTCCCCCTCACCCTAAGCAGGGAGAGGCAGTCCTCATTTCTATGTCCCAAACAGATTTAGGGATGAACTATGCTCTTTGAAGACACTGCAGGGACAGCTCTGGATGGGATATGAAGAACAACTCCAGAGATCTGGGAAATCAGAAGACAAGAAAGGAAAGTTTCCAAGATCTGCATGTTGGTTTTAGTTATGTGAAACTTTATTTGATCTGGGACCAATTTTGGATCCAATATCTCTTAAAGTTAGGAATTCATGTTCATGTGGTTTCATTCAGAAAGCTGGAATTCAGGATTAAGCATCCCAAATTCCAGGCTGTTTAAGTCCTGACCTTGGATTGGATCTCAGGATCTACTGTGTGATATTTTGAGGATATTGTGCAAGTTTTTTTCTGCACCAGAGAATATTAAATGTAAAGTAATCATGGGCCCTATTTACTAAATATTAGCAATAATTTCAAACAAATTATTTCACTGTTGTCTTACAGTGAATAAACGGGAAATCATATTGAGCAACGTTTTTGCCTGTCACTTTGTACACATGGTCCTTTACATTGACAGTCCATTGACTCCTGTTATATAAAACCCCTTCTTGCTTAGCTTAGTGCAGTCTTTATGCACTGTTTTGGGCTTTATGAAAAAAACAAAACAAAACAAACCAGATGACTTGCATAGTTCAATCTCCTTGCGATTCAATCTCCTTGCCATTGATCTGTTTCTTCCTCTTGTATTTCATACTTAATGACTGTAAAGCTTTGTGGGCCAGAGGCTCATTGTTATTACACTGCTTCGTAGTACAACAAGGTCTTTAGATTTTATTGCAGTAATCATTCTATACTTATGCTTTTTCAGATTGCTCTTAACAGTATCATGAAGGAGAAATTGATTTTTTTCTGCCATGCAGTCTCCCTCATACAGCGTCAGACATAACAAATACATCTTCAAAAGGAAAAGAGCTTTCTGTTGCATGCCCAGAAGAAAAGTTACAGCTTATGCCAAATGTTAGCACTACCCACACTGTGTCTTCCAGGAAGAGTAAGAATTGGCAGGAAAATTACCAAAAAATTAGTAGACTGACTTAAAATCTATGTTTCTTTCCTCCTCTTCCCCTGCTGGCTCAGTCTCATTTTACTAGCAGTAATTGCTAAAGTTATCATATTACCTCATAAAAATTGTGGCTCATCATGTCATTAAGAAATCATCCAGCATTCTCCAATCCCATGACACTATTGACTATTGAAAAAGCAGACCTTGCCTGGTTTTTCAAACAGGGGCTGCAAACCTAATAAGTGATGTTCTGTGCATCTCTTATTTCAACCCTTCTTATGGGGTATTGAATACTGGAAAGTGCAGATGCACACGCACAAGAGAGAGAAAGAAGCCAAGGCAAACTGTGTAAAACATGTAGGAGTTGTTTAGTTTATTCAGTGAAGTTCTGATCTCTTTTTGTAAAGGTATCTGGAGACACAGAATTCAGAATTAAGGCCCTGTAGATGCCAAAGGGGGACTTGCTGTTGACCTCAATTAGGTCAATAGTACTAGGGCTCTACATGTGCTCCTGGAGCAGAATGGTCTGTTACTACCTGTACAGGAAATAAAAGGTCCTCCAAGATGTACACACATTTCTCCCACTTGACTATTTTTCCAGAAGAATTGTGCTCATGGAGAAATTTCTGTCTGTTTATTTCCCTTCCCCTTAGAAAGGAAGATTTGTGTCTGGCAACTTTAGTGATATGAGCCATGCAGGTCTAGAGCATTTGGAAACAATTTATGTTGATATTCCAAAGGCTCAATTGCAAAGATTTATTTACAACTATGAACTAGCAGTTCAAACTATGCTGGTCTTTCTGGCAAGAGCTGACTATTTTTCTGTAACTCAGCTGCTCTTGCCACACTCATTATCTATCATCTCATTGCAGCAACAGCAAACCACTCTTCAAAGACCTACACATTTTTCCAAACCAGTCCATAAGGCCATGCAAGGGGAGAAGGGGGAAACCTATTTTTATTTCTTTTTGATTAACTTTAGGAAAAGAAGAAATTACCATTTTCCTGTAGTATTGGTGAGAGGTGTGTGGGAAAGTTACATATGGTCATAAACCATCTGAACCTCAGTGTGTGGAAGTTAGCTGGTGTAGATGCAAATCATGGGCACCCAAAGCAGTCCTGTGTGTTTACATTTACTAAAACATA